TTTTTTTTTTTTTTTGCTGATGATCTTAATTTCGCTGAATGTGTAAGATTTGCTTTAGCAAAACAAATATCACTCTTGGGTTTTTGCCACGCCATGAATTTTTAATGCTTTATTAGAACGCTGGAGGGTTTCAGCCCAGTCTGTGACGGCTTAATTGAGTGAAATCCCGCTCCCGTTACCTGCCGGCGCCATCTGGCCTTCGGAATTAACAGCTGGGAAAACAAGCCTGGCTGCCAGATAATTCCATGCAAAACAGGTACCCCGTGTAAAAACCACTCTTTGGAAGTTGTCTGCCCCTTCTTGCACAAAGATATTTATTTTTAGAAAAAGGTTTCAGGACTTTTTGGGATCGGGGGGGGGGGCAGTTTTTCCTACACCAAAAGCCGGTGCCGAGCGCCAGAAATGGGGATTGCAGAGGGGAAAGGTGCGCCAAGGCTCTGTCGGTGTGTGGTCCTGCGAAGTGCTGGGGAGGTACGAGAGGGGGGGGCTTTACATCCGCCCTCGGAGGAAAAAAAAAAAAAAGAAAAATTAAAATAAAATGTTAAAAAATTGAATTTAAAAAAATTGGAAAATATGTTGGAAAAAATATATGGGAAAAAATATGTATTGGAGAAAAGCCCATGGGCGGCGGCGCTCCAGGACCTGTTCCCCTTCCCGATCCCATTCCCGATCCCATTCCCGATCCCACTCCCCGGGGGAAGCTGCACACGCGCGTCTCGGCCGGCAGGGGGCGCCCTCCGCCCTGGCCACGCCCACCCGGCCCACGCGAGGCGCCGGCGGCGACCAATCAGAGCGCGCGGGCGGGTCCCCATTCACGACGCGGCGGGGCCATGAATGGGGCGGGTCACGTGGGTCGGGGCGTTCCCACGGCCCCCTGCGCTGCCCACCGGGAATGGAGCCGGGATCGGGATCGGCGGGATCGGCGGGATCCGGGAACGGGCGCTGGGCCGCCACCGCCTGCGTGGTGACCGGCGCTTCCCGCGGCTTCGGCCGCAGCCTGGCGCGGCTCCTGGCGCCGCGGCTGGGCCCGGGCTCGCTGCTGGTGCTGCTGGCGCGCTCGGCCGAGCCGCTGGCGGAGCTGGCGGCCGAGCTGCGGGGCACCGGGGGCACCGGGGGCACCGGGGACACCGAGCTGCGGGTGCTCAGCCTGGCCGCGGACCTGGGCTGCGAGGACGGGCTGCGCAAGGCGACCGCTGCCCTGCGGGAGGTGCTGCCCGCAGAGCCCTTCGGCCGCCTGATCCTCGTCAACAACGCCGGTAACGACCCCTCCGTCCGTCCCCTCCGTCCTCGCCCGGGACAGCGGGGATCAGCCCCGCAAAGGCCGCCCTTGGCTCTGCAGCGGCAGCGCCGGGGCTTGGTCGGTGCTTTGGGTGCCGGCGAGTAACGGGAAAGAGTAAAATGACCCCAAGAACAGCGGGGATTTCACCCCATTTTATTGCAATAATTCATTTGATGAGCAGGTCGCTGCCGGGGCTTTGCTGCTCGCAAGATTTTACCTGTTGCTTGTAAGGTTTTACCTGTTTCTTGTAAGGTTTTACCTCCTGCCTGTGTTCCTGGACCACCTGGGTGCCCTCTTGTCCCTCTGCCCCCCGAATACAAACCTTCAGACCAACTTCCAGCCCTGCCTTGTCCGTCCTACCTTGCACTTTTAATGCCTTTAGTGCCTTTTCCACCCTGTAAATCAGACGGTGTGTTCCCGTAGGGAAAAGGTGCTCCGGGACTTGGGTCTTGCAGTGGTTTGGTCATGAAGAGGGACCCGCAGGAGGGCACAGGGTGGCCCGTGGGGACATTGTACCCCAGGCCAGAGGTTGGGAGCTGTTTGTTTTGGCAGGGCAAGCCCCTGTCCTGTGTCACTGCTGGTTCAGTGGGTGACCCAAAAGCAGAGCTGGGCTTTGCTGAGCTCCTCAGGCTGCTGTGGGACGCTGCCAGGGACGCTTTGGTCTGTGCTGCTCGTGGAATGTAGGAGCAAAAGGGCTGTGCTGTGTTGTTGAATCCCTCTGCAACTCTTAACTCATTTGTCCAAGGCCAGGTTGGACAAGGCTTGGAGCAACCTCATCTAGTAGAAGGTGTCCCTGGCCGTGGCAGGGACAGGTGGAACTGGACGAGCTTCAGGTCCATCCCACCCACGCCATTCCATGATTTCTAGGCTCCCTGGGAGACATCTCCAAATCCTTCCTGGACCTCACCGACCCCGATGAGATCAACGCCTACCTCGCCTTCAACGTCACCTCAGCGCTCTGCCTCACCTCCACGGCCCTGCAGGCCTTTGGGAAGCGGCCTGGCTGCCGCAGGAGCGTGGTGAACATCTCCTCCCTCTGTGCCCTGAAGCCCTTCAGGAGCTGGGCTCTGTACTGCAGCGGGAAGGCCGCCAGGGAGATGATGTTCCAGGTGCTGGCGCTGGAGGAGCCCGATGTCCGTGTGCTCAGCTACGCCCCAGGTGAGCAGAGCAGCTCAGCGATTGCTGATGATTTTGGGGAGGGGGAGGGGGGAGTAAAAGATTCCTGCAGCCAAGCCAGGAGCAGAGGGGAAATTAGCCCTGGATTTTCCTGTCTGCTCGAGTGATGTCTGTTTTGGTGCTTTGTCCCCCAGGTCCTCTGGACACGGACATGCAGCTCCTGGCCCGGACCGAGACGGGAGACCTCGAGATGCGTCGGTTCTTCCAGAGCCTGCAGGAGAGCAGCAAGCTCATCGACTGCACTGTGTCAGCCCAGAAGCTGGTGAAGCTCCTGGAGGAGGACACCTTCCAATCTGGAGCCCACGTGGATTTCTATGACATCTGAACTCCTGTCACCTCCAACCCTTTGCCTTCCTGCTTTGCTTCCTTGCTGAGCCACGTCCTGGGTGTCTGCAGCGTGGTTGGTGACCCTGTTTGAGTCCTGGGAAGCTTTCAGAAGCACCTCTGGGTGCCTTGTAAATACTCCTGGTGCCTTGGTGGGGATTGGGGGGGCAGTTACTGCTGCTGAGCCCTGCAGGGATCCCTCAGCTCCTGGGGATGGAGGAGCACAGGGGGATTTTCCAAGGGAATGGACGTGGAGGTTTAAAACTCAACCTGCACAGGAGTGAGCCAGGGAGATACCAAGGCAAAAAAAGGCCCCTTCTGGCCACCCCAGAAAGTCTCAGCAGCAGGGTTAGATCTGAGTCTCCCCACGTCTGTCCCCTTTGCCCCACAGGAGCGCCCGAGCGAGACTCCGAAGAGCCATTCCTGGGGCTGGAGGTGGTGGATGTCACCCCAGAGCCCTCACTCTCCATCCCCTGCTCACCAGTGGGTTGTCCAAACCCTCCCACAGTCCTTGGACTGTCTCTCTGTGAATTTTGAATGTTAAGACATGGACCAAAGCCCGTCCCAGTGTTTTATCCACCAATCACCAGGAGGGGGAGGGAGCTGGCCTTGGAGGAGCTGGGAATTTTGGGTGCCTGGCTGGGGTCACCAGCTCACACAAACCTGGTCAGAGCACAGCCAAGACACAGCCCTGAGTTCATGCCATGCTCCTGTTCGCAGGTTCTGGGTCCAAACCTTGGTCTGGGCCTTCAGCCCCTCCTGGATTGCCCTTCTGATTATTTGTGGGGTTTTATTGTCATTTGCCCACCAGATTCCAGGAGGCACAGACTCAGAAAAGTCTTGCCCTTCTAGACAGCAGAGTGTGTTGATGCAGGAAAGCTGCTTTGAAGCACAGTGGCACTCCCTGTGTGCCCTGGAAATGCCCAAGTGTCACCCTGTGCTCCCTTCCTGCAGTCCTCTGTCTCAGCCCTGTGTCTCAGATTTTGTCCACCTGGATCATTAAAAGTTTCCTGTCTGGTCTGGCTTTTCTGCTGTGTTTTTAAAAGTGGATGAATTCTTGGGAGTGGGGGAGGACAAATCCTGGGTTAAGCACTTCATCCAACAAGGCACCATTGTGCCCTCTTGCACTCCTGTTCGTTGGAGCCGTTTCATTAATTCCATGTTAATTTAATCCTGTCAAGCTCATAAAACCCTCCTCTCCAGCCAGCCCTGCTGCTTGGTTTCATCTTCCCTCTGTGCTGTGTTTATTTTCAGTGAAAGCCTCTCCCAAAAGGCTCAAGGAGCCCTTTATTGCAGGAGGAGGTGGGAGGGTGCTGGGGGACAGGGACCACTTGGAACCAGCCAGGTGGGAGATGCAGGTGGTTCTTGGGGGTGAGACGCATAAAAAGCAGCCATGAAGGAGGGGTATTTTGGACTCTGAATACTTGTTTGAGGTCTGACCACCCTCCAGGGTCTGGGGGTGTATCAGCAGCTCTGTGGGTCTTCTTGGAGCATCTGTGTGAGGGGCTGTGCCACCTGAAACCAGCAGGGTGCTTCTGTCCTGATAATGAAATCAGTGCTGAAACACCAGATTTAGTTCAGAGAATGGTTTGGGTTGAAAGGGACCTTCAAACTCATCTAATTCCAACCCCTTGCCATGGGCAGGGACACCTTCCACCAGCCCAGATTGCTCCAACCTGACCTTGGACACTTCCAGGGATCCAGGGGCAGCCACAGCTTCTCTGCCCAACCTGTGCCAGGGCCTGCCCACCCTCCCAACCAGCAATTCCTTCCCAATATCCCATCTGTCCCTGCCCTCTGGCATCGCTCTGTAACCCCCAAGGGTGTGCTGGGTTTGTGATTCCCTGATCCAGGAGCAGAGCTCTGCCCTGGGGGAAATCACAGTGGTACTTCTGGGGCATCCTGTGGGCCCCAGCATTGCCTGGGTACCCCCATCCCCTGGGTACCAGCATCTCCTGGTACCAGCACACTGTGGATACCAACATCCCCTGGGTACCAGTATCACCCTAGGGAGCAGCATCCCCTCTCCCGGGTCCCACCGACACCTGCTCACCTGTGGGCGCTGTGAAACGCGGCGGCAAAAACGTCCCGAAATGTTTTTTCTCCCCTTTCCCGGCGTTTTCTGTGACCAGCGGAGGGCGCACCGAGACCGGGGAACGGAACCAGCCGGGAAGGTGCCTCTGGAAAAGCCGCGGGATTGTCGTGCGGGGATGGAGAGGAATTCCAGCTCCGACTCCTCTCCTGCCTCTGCACCGGCTCATCACTGATGCCTGTGAAGACTCATATTTTTAATTAATGCTCCATGTCCTGGATCCATGAGGCCGTTCCAGAGGCTTGATTCTGAGGGGGAAAAAAAAAAAAAAAAAGGTGTTTAAAAATAAAGAAGTTTTGAGCTCTCCTAATTCCAGGAACTCACAGCTCACCTGGCAAAGTGTATTCAAAAGGACTAAGGAGCTCCAGTATTTGGGCAGTGCTTTCTCCTGAACCCTGTGGCTGAAGGGAGTCACCCCAAAATTATCCCTCGTCTCTTCCACCCCAGGCAGAGCCAGGGGTTCTGTTCTCCCTGTCAGGGGCCAACTGGGGCTTGTCAAGCCCAAAATCCTGCCTGGCATGAGTTATTATTCCAAGTGGATCTGCCCCCTCCCCAGCTCCCACTCTGCCTCCTGTAGTAAAATCCCGTGCTGGGCATTTTTATCCCTTTTCCCACTGTTTTCCCCTCTTTTTCTGCCTGAGAGCTGAAGCACAAGCTGTGCAGGTGCCACCCGTGAGATCCCATAAAGTGCTGCACAGAGAACCCCTGGGATGGCCTGCACAGCAGTTTGGGGCAGGAAGGGAGGGATCTGAGTGACATTTAGAGGTGACACCGCCCAAGTGCCTGGCCCCAGGTCCCCAGGGGACCCCTCCCAGCAACCCCTCCCCATGTCAGGGGACACACTGTGCCCTTTGTGCCTGTGGTGAAAAGGTTTATGGAAGGAGTCAAAGTCACTGCTGGGGTTTTGTTTCCGTGAGTGTGACCAGGTCCCTGGGACAGGGGTGAGGCTGAGCCCCCTAAATCCCCCCCAAAGCCTCCCAAATTAAAACCTGCGCTCACCAGTGACCTCCCCAAATCTCGGCACTGCCCTGGGCTGCCCCTGGCTCGGGTGTGGGGGGTGGTGAGAGGCTGCAGGCAGGTCCCTCTGCCCCTTATTAAAGGTTTCTCAGCAGAGGGGAGAAGATGACCTTTATTTTCCCGTGCAGAAATGCTGAGCTCGGGTGTTCCAGCCAGGACTCCAAGTGCCCAGCGAGCTCCTGGCTCACAAACAAGAGCTGCCTTTGCCCCAAGGCCAAAGGTAAATGAGCTGTTCCTGTCAAAGGTGCTCCCACAGGGATGGGGGGAAAGGTCTGGTGGTGCCCACACCTCCCACACAGGGCCCCCCATCCTGCGGGCACAGCCCCCCGAGATGCCCGTGGAGACACATCCAGCCATCCCAAAGGCTCCCACCTCTCTGTGAGACAAATCACACATGTAGGGAATCACAAATGGAGGGAATTCTTGGGGATGTGGCTGGGATTTGGTGGGTGTTCACTGAGCCTGAGAGGGTTGGAACAACAAAGGTGATTCTGCTGAGCTGGCACCGTTCTCATGGACTCTTCCCAAGAGACTGAACATTCCTGCTCCTCCTGTCCCTCTTTCCAGTCCTCACTCTCAGCCCAGTGACCCATTTTTCTTCACCTCCCCTCGACGCTGTCCCCTGGGTTTGGACCAGCCCCACCATGGAGGTTCTGCCTGGCCGTGGCACTCAGTGCTCTGGGCTGGGGGACAGGGTGGGGATGGGGCACAGGGGGGACTCAGTGATCCCAGAGGTCTTTTCCAACTTAAATAATTCTGTGATTCTGTCAGATTGAATATTGGGAGGAGATTCTCTACTTCGAGGGTGGGGAGACCCTGGCCCAGGTTGGGCAGAGAAGCTGTGGCTGCCCCTGGATCCCTGGAAGTGTCCAAGGCCAGGCTGGACAGGGCTTGGAGCAACCTGGGCTAGTGCAAGGTGTCCCTGCCCATGGCAGGGGTTGGAACGAGATGATCTTTAAGGTGCCTTCCAACCCAAACTGTTCCATGACTCACGTTCCCTGGAGGAGCCATTTAATGAGTAACAAGGGCCCTGTTGGTCCAGCAGGAGCAATGACAGATTAACCCAGTTTAGAGCCAAAGAGCAGCTGGTTTGCTGGTAAACTGTGCTGTTCCTGTGAGCTTCAAATGCCTTTAATGAGTTATTATTTAGTCTGCTATGGAGGTTAATGGGGGGGACATGGCAGAAATGATCTGTGATTAATTAAACCCTCTTTATTTGGTGCAGCCAGAGCAGCTGGACTCACTGGGATGGGAGCTAAGCTGGGACCAGCTCTGGATCCCTGACTGGTGATCCAACCAGGCTCTGCAGACCAACAGCACCTCCATCCTGGTGGGAAAGAGCTGCCACAAACAGGAAGCTTTCCCTGGTTTTTTTTATACACCACCCCAAAGGCAGGCTTTGTCCCACTTGCTGCCAAGACATGTGGGATAAAACCAGGTGCACTTCAAGCCTCCTTCCCTAAATCATGGAATCACAGAATGTTCAGGGCTTGGAATGGGCCTTAAAGATCATTTAGTGCCAATCCCTTGCCATGGGCAGGGAGAGCTTCTGCTAGACCAGGTTGCTCAAGGCCTTATCCAACCTGGCTTTGTACACTTCCAGGGTTGGGGCATCCATAGCATCCCTGGGCAACCTGTGCCAGGGCCTCATGACCTTCACAGTAAAGAACTTTTTCCTACTATTTAACCTAAATTTCCCTTTTTCCAATCTGTACCCATTACACCTTTTCCTATTCTTCCAGTTCCCAGAAGCTGGATGTCAAGATGAAGGCAGGTTGTGGCCAAGCTGCTCCCGTGCCTCCCCTGGGGTTTGGGAACATTGTCTCATCCTGACATTGTCTCATCCCAACACCATCTCATCCCAACACCATCTCATCCCAACACCATCTCATCCCAACACCATCTCATCCCAACACCATCTCATCCCAACACCATCTCATCCCAACACCATCTCATCCCAACACCATCTCATCTCAGCACCATCTCATCCCAGCACCGTCTCCCTTCCTCTTTCCCCCCAGCAAAGCCACCAATTCGGATCAGCTTATCCCTCGTCCTCCTCCTCCTCCTCCTCCTCCTCCTCCTCCGC